ATGCTACGCCTTCCACTCATTCCACAACTCCCAACTAGCAACCGGAAGACCGCAAAAGTCAGGTTTGCACCGGAATGCGTGTTATGAATCGCCCCGTCCCTGAGAAAATAGATCATTAGTTACGCGAGGACGAACAGAGAAGAGCAACAATGTAAACTAATATCACCGACGCGAGTTGCGGTGTCGGAATGTCTGCTGCGCCACCGAGTTTACCGAATCGAGGAAGTCGTTAATTGAAATATCGTTGCTCGCAGGCGAACTTCGACGGATACTCATGCCCCTGCGACGAGAAGCGCTTCATCAGACTCGAGCACCGGCTCCGAAAGCTCGACGGGATCAGGAATCCGCAGTACCGGTGCGCCATTCACCACCGAGGAAATGAAGCAGAAATACTTGTCGAGGGCACCGGCGTCGAACGCAGCATCCGCGGTCTCGTCGCCACCCGCCAGCACGCCACCGGCGTCTGCTAAAGACAACGCCAGCCCCGCTTCGAAGCCCTTTCAGAGCCGTTTTTTAGGCGCAGGTGAATATCGAAACGCTAACGACTTCGTCATTCATATAAATAAACAAAAGCCGGGGATTACAATAAAGCCAGCCAAGTACATAAAACATACGAATATCAATCTGACGTCTTACATAATTTTAAAATTGATAAAGAACCTATAATAATTTTACAATACTTCATAAAATTGAAACCCCTACACTAACAACGAGCCAAATGTAATTGCACGGTCAAGACTATTTCTCTTCTTTTCCGTTTTTCGATCCTACTCGCACCGTTTGGGTTCTTTGTAGCTGCATAGAAAAGGTAAAAATCGAAAAGCGAGAGAGCGTGCATGATAAAAAGAAATTGTATCCTTATATAGGACACAAGAGAAAGAAACTGGGACTTGCACAAAGATTAATGTTACTACTGTCTCACTACATGTACGTACTACGCTCGCAGCGAAGTCACCATGAAAACTGACTACAGAAAAATGGTCTTGATTAGCCAATGCATTTGTCCTCCAGTCAAGTCATGTACTCTGAAATTCTTTGTTCGAATTCGACAACTAAAAGGAACAGTCCAACAAAGAAAAACTTTTTTCATTTTTCGTAATATCCACTATTTGATTCTTATAGAGTGTCTCATGCCAGAAAGAAATCCGGAAGCAGGATTGCTGTATTACGTACCCTCACGTAGTGGATACAATAGAAAAAATTATATAGAAATAATTAAATTTTATTTCGTACAATCACCAATTCTAATTGCAGTTCTCCACTGCAAATAAACTAACTAAATATATTTTATAAAATTTTCCACGCAGGTTGGAGTCGATTGGAAAATAAAAATTATCGATTTTTCTTATAATTTTCTAGGTAACCGTGCAGCCCCGCCGCCGCCTACGCAGCCCGCAGCGGCCCGAGACGAGGCTGTCATAAAGAAGAAAGAAAAGGAGGAAGTGGACGACGACGAAGAAGAAACGAGCAGCTCGTCGGAAGAGACGGAATCCGAGACCGAGGAGGAATCGGAAACCGATGCTCATCCCTCAACTACGGGCACCTCGTCGGCACCCTCGGTCGTCGCTCCGGACCGTCAAAGGAGTGAATCCGCGATGGCTAGGACGGACATCGGCCCTTTGCTCGCCCGGAGCGCAGAGGCTAGACGAGGCAGCAAGGAAGACTCACCTACGACCAGGCAAGTATACACTTTCCTACGGGATTTCTCATTGGAGAGTTTCCATTAACAAGTAACATCGAACGAGGCGAACGGAACGACGACTACGTAGCTCTGACACGATTCTAACTTTTTTTTAAAAGTATTCATCGTGGGACGAACATGCGAGTATTTATTTTTAGTAAATAACGAGCGTGTTTGCGTGGAAGTCGAAGAAAGATCGATAGCGTGGTGGTACTCGGTGCGTGTCTCTCGTGGAAAGCGAACGGCCGGTAGATTCTTGGGCATATCAGTTGCAATCTTCGCGCGATATCGGAGCTTGACAATGCAATGGGAACAGTGGTCGGGTTGAGATCGGGTGGCGAGACGAGACAATTGAAAGCGAACGATTTATCGGTGGAAGCGCGAACGTGTGAAGGAGATTGAATTCGAATATCGAGCGATATGAACTCGTGTCTCAGGTATTCGTCGCCGAGAGGAAGTCCCGCGCATTCGGTGACGGGCCAGACGACGACGTCGACGACGACGACGACGCCGAGCGGGGCCGCGATGTTGACGACGCCGGCCGGCGGCTACACCAGCAGGTTCGTAACATACGTAGATCACGGTCAGACTCATCAGGCCAGTTCTAATTCCAATAACCCCCACGACCGTAATCGTTTTAGGACGTTTAGTGACGGACACGATGAACCGTCAACCGATCGTGTCGAGGATAACGAAATCGCGGCTAAGAACGCGGATTACGATTATGACAGTGCGGACGGATCGATGGTTAAACCGCAGTCGAACAAACGGACCCACACGGACGATAGTACGGACACCGACGAAACGATCACCTCATCCTCTTCCTCCTCCACGACTAGATTCGAAAGTCTCGATGGTAGCGGTAATGATAGTCGAGTAGAGAACCGCAGCGAGGTCAGTGAAGACGCGGAAGGTCGTTCGGCGAACGACGTGAACTCTTTATTATCCGCTCAAACCGATCGGCGGGCATCGCTCGCTCAACCAACCGCTATCTTAGACGGGGCCGCGTATCGGCCGGAACGGATTCCAAATTCCTCGCAAGAAACGACCGTCGACGCTAACGAAATTGGATCTGCCGATGGATTCAGTGCCGATCGAGTCGACAAAACAAACGTGGACAGTGAATCCGAAAGCTACACCGAGAGCGATTCCGAGACGGACGCGGCGGACGAAGACGATGAATCCAGGGACGAAAATAGCAACATAAAGAAGAAAAAGACTGAGCATTCGGATCGAGAAGGGGATCGGTCCTCGGCGAGCGAGAACGAGTCGACCGATTCTGAGACTGATGACCAGACTGCTGTGTCAAGCATACCGTCCAACTCCTATTCCAAAAATAATTACAGTAGTCTGGAACGATACGAGGACAACAGCGTAAAACGGCGAAGTTCATCGATACTCGAGGAGAAAAGTATCGAGGAATTGTTCGACGATAACGGATGGGTGGTTACCGACCAGGACCTGCAAACGGAGAATCCTCCGAGGATCTCGGGGAGTTTCAAATCGATCGAGCGGGCCGACTCTGGCGATGAGAAACATAATGCGTCGAATAGTCTAGCGGACGCAAAGGAAAACGACGAAATTACCGAAGACGGGAAATCATTGAGCGTGTCGGACCCCTCGAAGAGTTTATCGCGAACTCGAGTGTACAGGCAAAGTAGTATCGGAAAGAATGGATGGTTGGTGTCCGATGAGTCGGAAACCGAATCGGATAGAGCATCTTCACCCGTGGGACGTCCAACGAGACGGGAGGGTAAAGAGCGCAACACGGAAGAGGCATTGAGAAACGTGGAGACCTCGGAGAAGGCGGCCATCCTCGCTACGGAGGATAAGAGATCGAATCGGAAGGACAGCGTCGAGAGAAACGGATGGGTGATGATATTAAACGAGGTGAACAACGCGTCCACCGACAGAGATATCGAGGGCGAACGCACGAACGAGACGAGCACGATTCGTTCCCAAACGACCCCGACCGACCTCGCAGTGAAAAGTAACGTTGAGAACGGTGCATTATTCGCGAACGCTACCCAATCGAAAGAGACCGAAAGTTCCAACGAGCACGAGGACACGCCTGGTGTCGATATCACTATACCGATGCAAATGGTAACCACCGTTTTCTGTGTGTCCGTACTGTGTTACAGCATTCTAATCAATCTGTTCCTGTAACCCGTCTATTACACGTGCCCACTTTTGACCCCTTCACACCCTCTGTTTACGTTCTCGCCTTCTTTTTTTCTCTCGTTATTCGTCGGTGTTAGTCGTAACTGACTATAAAGACTGCTCTCACAGACGACATACAGACGAGACTGGCTCGATGCCGAGATCCGATGCAGCAGTTTCTTCTTATCCTTCTTCGTTAGTTTTATTTTCAAGTTCGTCCGTTCGTTCGTTTGTTCGTACGTTCGTTCGTTCGCTCACTCACTCGCACGGTTCTTCGAGCTTTATCTCAGTTTATCTAATCGGAAGAGAACGCTGACTCGCGAAACGTTTCTTCTAAAATGCGATAAAAAGTATTGGATCGAAAGAATGAAATTGTTCGAACCCTTGCGCAAACGTTCACCCACGTATCTATATTTCGTCCAATGTTGGAATATTGTTTACTTATCCCGTTTGACGAAACTGCTGCTCGGAATCTTTCACGCTCTAACGTATTTCATTACTCGATATCATCGATCATCCATGAGTGCATCGAGTGGCAATTACTAAAACCGGAAGGGGTAATAAGTGAGATAACGATTAATCGGATAGAGATCGCTAACGTAATCATTGTATGGTGAAATATACTTTGCATTTTTTGTACATTGTGATAATCGTACGTACGATCGTAAATAAGCGCCACTTTCTGGTTCCTACGTTGATCACCCGCGACACACGTATATATGACATGATATACCCGCATTGCTCAAAACGCGTAGCTTCGTAGATAGAAAAGAAATGATGAAACCGCGTAATCGCTCTCTAATCGGCAACGAGACTAAACGTAAGCGTAGTAAAAGATACCGTCCTAATAGCAGCTTAAGTCCACGCTGAATTAAAAAAAGAAACGCTTCTGATTCGTTCCCATCGAGGCATAGTCATATTTAATGGCCTGTCACGCGTTACGATCCTCGTTGTCCTCGCGAGACGATACTTACTTTACGTACGCGTGACAAACCGTTCTCGATACTGCCAGTTTTCGTATCATTGAAATTTTTGTACTCTACATCTAGTGAATAGGCTTGGGTCAGTTTGTTGGTGTGGTAAATAAACTGCATTTCTTTGTGATAACTCGTATTATTTATTTCCCTCTCAACTTGTCCTGTCAGTTTCATACAAGTATGAATAACATACGACGAAACAGAGAGATGTATCCCGCCTGCAAATTTGTCTTTCTCACGGTTAAACGTTTATCAATTATACCACTTTCTCTCGTCCCAGTTCTCAACGTATCTTCGTTCGTATTCTTCACTTTTGTCCGTATGTACGTTGCCCGCCCCCCTGTTCGTAAGAATGATACAGAATTAAACGTTAGAAAAAAAAGAAGAACAAAATGCATCTTTATTTATTGCACTGACAGATTGAACGCTCGTCAGAATGAATCACGTGTAATCGGTACCAATCGTCACTCGTTACACGCACCCTCCAGCGGGAACTTCCGTGAAGGCGATCGGCTTTCGTTTAGATATAATACACCCTCGACCTCTGTTGTACTACCACCTCAAGATGCACGCACGCTCACACCACGAACTTACAGCATACTCGACAAATATAGATTTCTGAGGAGAAGGTAAAACTTGATCCACGGGTAAAATGAGGAGAAGGCCTCGGCCACGATCAAGGTACTACATGTTTCCGATATTTGGAAGTAGAGTAAATTAGCTTGAAACGGGCTACGAGCTTCTCTCCGAGCTGGTCGTCGAGCAAACGATCGCTTGCAACACATATAATCGACTTACCAACGCGAAATTCACTCTCGCAATGCTTCTTTCGACCTGATTTAAATCATTTGTCTTCATTCTGATAATGATTCTCGCTTAATAGCACTAAAGCCGATCGCGTATGCCTTCTTTATACACACATTGGCATTGCATATTATACTGGAATCAACATGGTTTGATACGATGTATATTATTTATAATGTAATTTTATTCATATCCTTTAGGCACACATTTACTAAACTTTATCTACAAAATACTTTCAATATATTATTCAGATCTGTCTAACTTCTATTTTTTATTTAGATTAAATTTTTAAATCCTGATTGACAATTATTGCTTTGCTAAAGTTGTGAAGGCGTATACATTTGGGGTTTTGCAATTGACGTTACCAAATCAACTTTTTTCATCTGAATTTTATATTTAACAACGCTTAACTGAGCTCAAAAAATTTAATTGTCTACTTTGTAAAGGAAATTTCTATTCCTCGGACAGAAAGTTATAACTTGAATATTGATAGTTTATTAAATAAATTATTTATTGAATACACTGGGTTTTATACATTGATAGAAAAATATATACGAGAAACATAAAATAAGTTTGAACAATGAAATGCATTTCACAATATTTAAAGGATTTGTACAGTTTATTTTTCAAATTAATACTACGAACGATTTATTCCATATAAAAATCTGCGATCTATTAATTAGCATTGTGTGCTATATGGAAAACTTGAGGGCGCGTGGTAAAAGGTTTAAATATAACCCGTTTGTTACTTTAAATATCCGGACCACGAATAGTCAGTCGAGTTATATCGGTCTATGGTCTACTTGACGTAGACGTTATCCCAATTCATGTTTCACCGTTCCAACATCCGTTAAACGTGGTAACTCGAGAGTCATCCGAATTTACAACCGAAGGGTTATAAAATTTGCGAGGGAACCATCAAACTCGCGGTACTAAATATGTATCTGAATATCTTTTTTACCCATTCAAATCTACATGCGATGAGCATAAAATTTGAAAAACTCGATGCAACCAAAGTATCGGCGTCGCTCATAATTTACCGGGGAATTGGAAAAATGTAAGTCAGTAGTGGCACTATTTTATGGCACTCGTAGTAGATTCGATATCATACATATTACACGCGTACATTGAAAATCAGATATTTATCGTAGCCGAGAGTTCCTCGAACAGA